ACACACACACACCACACTTGAACACTTTCCCTGCCCTCTCGCAGAAAGAGTTCTTCTCTCCTCCCCCACCCCCCCTCCCTCTCTCTCTGATATAAGTAGCTGTTAGAAACCTGTAATTGACTATTACTGGAGCGTGTGAAGAGTGAAAAACAAAGTTGGTATTATGATCTCCATTTGTTCGACTCTTGTTTTCATTTCTTTTGTTTAGTCTGATATAAGTAGCCGTTAAATAACCTTCGTTATTGGAGCAAGTGAAAAGTGAAAAACAAACTTGGTATTATGCTACTCCTTTATTTGTTTGACCTGTTGTTTTGAATTCTTTTGTTTACATTTGAAGAACAAAAAAAACTTTAGGTACATATGTTGGATGCACATGTCTTAGTCAATGTAAGTATGAAAACTTAGGTGGATGAAAACCGTAGCTATCCTATGCACCACTTCAACTTAACTTTTGCTTAAGTGATGAAGATAGGGATTCAAGATTCAAATTGAGCTAGCTAATGAATTCCAAACAACAAGAGTTTCGTTTTTGAAAAGGCAAGAATCTTAAAAGTATGTAGCTGATGAATTCAGCTGAATTTTATTTCCTAAAATTAAATATTTTCTCACCAACAAAACAAAGCCTTTTTCTTTCACCAATATAAAATTCATTTTCCTTCAATGTTTTGATTCTGAAGCACCAATTAGGGAAAGGAAAAACATTTTAGGAAAATGAATCAAAACATTAAATTTTAGGGTTTCCTTTAACGTTTGACATGTCTCACAATCCCTAGAGGGTCTAGGAAAAAACTTACATATTTGACTCGATTTATAAGTTTTCTATGTATAAATTGGACAATTTATCAATTTTCTTTTCTGCACTCACGTAGAGTGGCATAAATTTCTCAACTCTGACAACAACAAAAAAGAGTAGATTCGAGGCATATAATTTCCCAACTCTGACAAAATCGGTTTTGTGTCCACTTTCAAATTACTTCACTTCACCAAATTAAAACCCTAAACCCTAAACGAGAAGAAGAATATTAGTTAATGGTAAGCAAATCTAAAATTGGCATATGAGATTTCCGTTCACTTTCCTTATTAGTTGCCGTCTATTCTTAACTTAAGCATGCACACCAAGAAGGGAAAGGATTTAAGATTCCTAAGAATTAGCGGTTTCCCTGGTGAAGGAAAACCGAACCTTAGAAATTCTAATAAAATACCAAAAACGGTAAGATTTATAATAAATGAGAAGAATTCATTAATGGTAGGAAAATAAAAAATTTCCATGTATATATGCAGTTTATTCTTAATCAGCAAGAAAGGAAAGGGTTTAAGATTCCTAAGACACAGGGGTTTCCTGGTGCAGCAAAGAAAGGGTTAGAAAATCTAATAACACACCCAAAAAAGGTTCAAAATATTATTTAAAAAGTAATATTGGCATATATTTTCTTATGTATAAATATCTCACAAATCACAATCTTCTCCCACATTATTTACTTTCTTCAACAACCCTATAGTTTCTTCTACGACTATTCATCTTTTAGCTAGCTAGCTAGGGATTGTGAGACATGTCAAACGCAAAGTATACTGATGTGGCAGATGATCTTGGTCCCAACAACAATGCTCTTGCCCTTATAGATTATTTTGATGGCGATTTTATGTCTTACCCAAAGGAGGGTTCTACAATTTCATCAATGGAGAACCATCGTCTTCATCACGACACCCCCGTATGTATCAAGCTACTTCTTTATTATTAATTCTTCATTATGTTATGACTGTATGTACTATATTATAACGCTGAATGGTACGTATCTATCGATCTTTTTTCTAGAATTAATATGTTTGTTGTTGCAGATTACTTATCATGTCGTGAAGGTGGACGTGGCTGACAATTCTCTGCCTTATAGCATAACAAGGAAGTTGGAGAAAATTGACGGTAACAATTTATAAATAAACCTCTTTATTATGCAGGCAGTAAGTACAACTGAGTGAGTATATATAACATGCGAATATGTGTATATGTAGGAGTAAATTCGGTCTCGGAGGGGCTTTATGAAAGAAGGATAGGACGTTGGTGTATTTCAAAGATAACAGTTTGTGGCGATCATGTAGATCCAGTCACAATCATTCAGAAAATACTTAGGTATGCAGAGATTTTGTCCTACAAAATAGAAAAGAACCCTTGTGATGAAGCCTTTAACAACCATATTCAGAATGAAAAACCTGCCGCCGAGGACTTGAAAATTTTCTATTCTAAGGTAAGAAATTAACCAATAACCATGTCCTTATGTAGTTGTCAGTTGTCAGTTGTGATTTACCTACCCAATATATCTTCATGCCTTGTTGCAGATTTCTTATGCTGCGACGGTCGTTAACTTGTGTTGTCTGGAACGCCTTCACAGAATAAAGAGAAAGTTGAAGAAACTTGACGGTACGACGTTTTATTTTTTATTTTTATAATTGTATATATCGATTGGATTTTATTTTAGGTAAAATAGTATGTGAATATATAATATACTTTAATGAAAGAAGCGTCAATTTAAATTATATTGGCACGGGTTTGATTTTTAAAAATTTGGGTTTGCACATACGCAGGAATAAATTGCGTGACAATGGATTATAATGGGAGGATAGAAGTTTCTGGTGATCATGTAGATCCAGACACACTAGTAGAGACAATAGAAAAGTTTGCACAGATTGATCCTCACAGAAAGGCCAAGGACAAACGTGTTGCTGCAGCACAAGGATTCAAGAAAAATAAAAACGTCCCATTTGAGGTAAGAAATTACCAAGATCTGGTGTTCTCTGATCGTTTGATCATGTATATATGTAAAAAACTATACAACTCTAGCTTACATACATACCTATATACGGAAATTCTCCTATGCGGATGTTGCCAAGCATTTGGTACTGAGTTTCCTCCTACGTTTTTAGTAACACAATGAACCAGAAGTAGGACCAAACTTATAGTTAGCAGCACAAACAAAGAAGGATTTGTGAATGAGAAATACAAGTTTCCTATATTCATAGGAATCAATGGGAGAATGGCAAATTGCTCAAGTGGGCTGTTGGGCGTATACGGAAATTCTCCTATGAGGATGTCCGGACGTTATTACCATGTATTTTCTACTACCCTTCCCTGCTTTCCTTCCTATTTACAATGGCATCCGCACGTCGGTAATAACGTGCGGATATTCGAATGAGAGAATAAATGTACCTATATATATATATATATATATATATATAATATAAATGTGTTTTGTAGATTATACAATAACCATGCATTTATGTGTCCATGTATGTTCCTTGTAGACTTGTGTTGTGAAGGTTCCAGGATATTGGATTATAGCAAATCGCGAAAAAATAAAGAAAAAGTTGTTGCAGGAAATGAACGGTACAAATGAACTCTTTCATAATTAATATATACAGTATTGGTTCCGTTGATATTTAATCAGTTTTTGACTTTTTGGGGTAGGATTAAAAGCCATCACCATGAATGCACGAGAAAAGACGATAGCAGTTTCTGGTGATATTATAGACCCAACCAGAGTCATAGAGATAATATCAATGATTTGTAGGGCACGTCGTCCAGAGCTTGTGTCCTGCAACAAGAAGAATTCAGATCCTGCAGATCATCAAGAACAAGGTCGACCGATCAAGAATGATAAATTCCTTCAAGATGACACAAAATTATTCCCTGATTATCACGAGGTACATTAATTAATTATATTAACCTAATTGCTCTGGTGTTGTTTGATTGTTTGAGCATGCATGAAGTTAACTAATTAGTACTGATGTTGATACTCGAAGGGTCTTATTGCTCTTCCATTGATGGAGAAGAAGCACCGTTTTGATGGTCCCGTGGTATGTATCTTGCTACGCCTCACCCCTTCATTTTATGCCTAAATTTAATTAGGTTATACATGTTCTTGCAGACTTGTGTTTTGAAGGTACATTGTTCAGGTTGTGTTGACGAAATAAGGAAAACGTTGCACAAAATAAAAGGTACACAAGTTTATATTACTCATCAAAACTCTTCTTACTACTTCTTGTTTTAATCAATACTCATATTTATATGTATTTATTTTCTATTTTTTGTGTTGTAGGAGTAAATTTCGTCTTCAGCTTCTCACAATTTGGATTTGATTGGAAGCTAAAAGTTTTTGGCGATATAGATGTACTCACAATCACAAACACAATATTGACAAAATACAAGAGATCAGTATCGCTTTCCGCCTACGATGACTGTCGTCGCCCCAAAAAGAAACCAACTGGGGTAAGAAATTAACAAAGACTACACTGTGGTACTCTTATTTAATTATAATTTGCATTATACATTTTTAACATATTAATGTTGCAAGTAGTTTCCACATGCTTTGATCTAATATAGAAAAGTATCTTTGTTTTGAACAGATTTTGCAGCGACTGGTTTCCGCTTTCGAAACTTTGTGTGACGACTTTTGACGTCTTTGGATGATTATCATTTTGAGGAGAATTTATATATATATATATATAACCTTAGCTTTTTAGTCACATATGTCTCACTCCGTGTCACAAGTACCAAAACCTAGGTGGATGGAACCTTACCTATCCAAATTTCTATACACATGTCAATTGAATTGAAATGATTTTTTTTTATAAGGGAATGATTTCTTTTAAATTACTCTAATATAAGGGAATGATTTCTTTTAAATTACTCTAATATATGGGAATGAGATGGAACTTAGGTGCAAGGGAAGGAACAATGCTTTAGTTAATTGTTTTAACTCACATATGCTACAATTGAATTGAATTTAAAATAAACAATAATAAATTAGTGAATTTTACTTGGTCATAATTTAATATTCATAAACGTGTAATCACAGAAGTAATTTTGTGGTTACATGCATGCAGTGACGGTCCTAATTAAGGTTTTGGAGGCCCTGGTGGAACTACCAAAATGTGACCTTTGACTCCTTGGGTTGCATGATTGGTAGACTCACAGCCTTCCTGATCCAAACCATGCATGGAGATGAACCAAGAAGGTAGAGTTTCTTTGATCAAGGACTGACTATTATACATCAGAATCACAATCTTCTCCAACATTAGTTACTTTCTACGACTAACTAACATAATCTAACGCAGTCTATAATATTAGATAGCAAGCTAGGGAATATTGTGAGACATGTCAAACGCAAAGTGTACACCCTCTAGCAGTGAGGGTGTTGAGAGTATTTGTCCCACATTGAAATGTTAAGGGACCTAGCCTGGGTTTATAAGGAGTTGGGCTACTCCCCCCATGGCCAATTGGTTTTGGGGTGGAACCTCAACTTCCTTCATGGGATCAGAGCAAGGCTTCACGTGTTGGGCCCAACGGCCACATGTGCTCCCACGTCACCGAATATGTGTTGTCCACGTGTTAGGCTTGAAAGTTCGCCACACGTGCGGGGGCGTGTTGAGAGTATTTGTCCCACATTGACATGTTAAGGGACCTAGCCTGGGTTTATAAGGAGTTGGGCTACTCCCCCCATGGCCAATTGGTTTTGGGGTGGAACCTCAACTTCCTTCAGAGGGAAAACTACGATGATCTCGGTCTCAACTCAACAATACTGTTATTGCCCTTATAGATGACTCATACATCGAACATAAAAGTTCATGGTGATATTTGATCCTCTCACAGTCACAGTCACAAACACAATATTGACAAAATATAAGAGAACAAGCAACGCTTTTGGCGTAATCCTCACGGTCTAGTCTTCTTTGAAATAAAATTTGTTGTTACTAACTAACTAGTATCTATAAGTACTCTTTGTTATTTTAGAAAGGCGAGAATCTTGAGTATATTCAATTCAAGATTCGGACAGAGTTCACCTAAACTAGTTAATATCTTGAAAGATTTCGATCAAGTAATTACTTTTTTCCACATTTGGTTGTCTTTCTTTAATTACATGCGCATTATGAAATCAGAAGATCGGCATATACAATTGGATTTCCTAATTTCCAGTTAATTCTCAAACACCCATTTTAAGTTTTTAAGGAAATTACTTTCACATTCCTCCTAACAAGTACGTACGAATACCGCGAAAAGCAACCCATTTTTTAGAGTAAAAAATACCAAAAATGGTACAAGATTTTCAATTCATGGAGATCCTCCTAATCAATACTTGACTTAACTTCTAATCAAGTAACCTATAAATATCACCACTATCTTCTCCCAAATCAATTTTCTTTACAAATCCAAGTCCAAGTTTTTGCCTACTAATAGTCTTTATAGCTTTAGGGTTCTTTGCTTTGGACTTGTTGTGCTTGTGGGGGAGACGTACAAAATCTCATGCTCTCATCAAAGAGACTGCACTTGCAATGGAGAACCACCCTGCTGTTGGTCCCGTATGTCTCTCTACGGCTACCTTCTCTTTCATTTTACGATTAATATAACAAAAATTAATATCTTCTTTCTTGCAGACTTGCATTTTGAAAGTGAGTACATGTTGTTTGGGGGGTTTTCGGCTATGGCCTCCCCACTTCACCAAGCTATGGCCCCCCAAGTTCATAAAAAAAAAGAAGGTAATTACATGTTGCAAGGGATGTGCTACCAAAATAAAGAAGAAATTGCAGAAACTTAACGGTACGAAAACTAACTCTTCTGTTTCAATTTTTGTGCCTTGCATTTTTGTGACATATATACCAATTATATATAGGAAAAAAAAATATTGGTATTGGTTTGATTATTAATTTTTCAATTTTCAATTGATTTTTGGGTACGTTCTATTTGTATATACATAGGAGTAAATTCCATCACCATAGATTATGAAAAAGGGATGGTAGCAGTTTCTGGTGAGGCAGATCCAGCCACAATCTTAGTGACAATTGCAAAGCTTAAGATTAGGACAGAGCTTGTGTCCTACAAGAAGGACCCTCGTGCTGCCCAAAAGAAAAAACAAGCACAACGATTGAAGAACACTCAAAATCATCATCATCACCCCATTGCCAAGGACACGAAAAAGATCATCGATCATCACAATGATCATAATCATGATCATTCAAATTCTGATTCTGATTCTGATTCTGATGATCAGATTGATGGAGATCATGATGGTCATAGTG